CAAGAAAAGGTATGCTTCCTCCTTCCCTCTGTGCATGTTTCTGAACTCCTGCCTGCCATAGAGTGGGCTGAGTTCTCAAAGAGCTGCGAAAGAAGGGATTTCTCTTCACTGGGTTGAATCTGACCTCTTTTTACTCTGTCATTGTTTTCAGGGATCCACCTGTTAAGAAGAGGAAAATGGAAAACTGCCTGCACAACCAGAAGTTGTCCAATAAGCCCATTGAATCATTGAACAACCAGCCAATCCCAAGACCAGACACTCAAGAATTAGAAACTTCAGAAATAAAGCTAGCCACTTCATTTGAGGACTCTTGCGGTTCTAATACCAGAAAGCAGACTCTTACAACAGCTTCAAAATATCCTCAGAAGTTGCTTTTACCAAAGCCCAGAGTGGCTTTGGTTAAACTACCTGTTATGCAGTTTTCTCCTATGCCTGTCTTTGTGCCTACAGCTGACTGCTCGGCCCAGCCTGTGGTGTTAGGTGTCGATCATCAGGGCTCTGCCCCCAGTGCTGTGCACTTACTGCCTTTGTCAGTAGGAACTCTGATCCTTGGCCTTGATTCAGAGGCCTGCTCTCTTAAGGAGAGCCTCCCTCTTTCAAAAATTGTAAATCCTGTTGCTGTTGAGCCAATTAGTACAGGTGTTCAAGTGAACTTGGGTAAAAGTCCATCTAATGCTATGCAAGAACTAGGGAGCACATGTCAAAAGAACGGTATTTCTTCGATCAATGTACAGACAGATCTGTCTTATGCCTCGCAACACTTTATACCTTCTACACAGTGGTTCAGCCCTGATTCCTCTGTATCGTCTTGTTCTCAAACTGATCTGACTTTTGGTTCTCAAGTTTCCCTTCCCATTAGTGTTCATACTCAAACCTTTTTGTCCAGTTCTAAGGTAACTTCATCTATAGCTGCTCAGACTGATGCATTTTTAGATGCCTCTTTCCAGTCAGGTGGGATCTCCAGAGAAACTCAAACCAGTGGAATGCGAAGTCCGACGGATGACCGAGTACAAATGGACCAAGCTGTAATGTGTGGAGACATTTTTGAGAGTGTCCATTCATCATACGGTGTTTCTACAGACAATATTATAAGCAGCACCTTAGTAGGAGAGACTGTCACTCATGGTTTGTTACCTCAGAACCACCCTAAGACTTTAAGTCAAGATATTGAGAAATCTGCACCAGTTATAAATTTCAGTGCACAGAACAGTATGCTTCCTTCACAGAACATGATAGATAATCAGACCCAAACTATAGATTTATTAAGTGATTTAGAAAACATCTTGTCAAGTAACCTGCCTGGTCAGACACTGGACAATCGTAGTCTTCTGTCTGACACAAGTGCTGGACCTGACACCCAGCTCCCATCTGGCCCAACCCAGAATCCTTCAATTGATTTTGATATCGAAGAGTTCTTTTCGGCCTCAAATATCCAGACTCAAACTGAGGAGAGTGAGCTCAGCACCATAACCACTGAGCCAGTCTTAGAATCACTGGACATAGAGACCCAAACTGACTTCTTGCTTGCAGACTCTTCTCCCCAGCCCTACAGTTATAGGGGGAATTCTAATTTCTTAGGCCTTGAAATGTTTGACACACAGACACAGACAGACTTAAACTTCTTTTTAGACAGTAATCCTCATCTGCCTCTGGGAAGTATTCTGAAACACTCCAGCTTTTCCATGAGTACTGATTCATCTGACACAGAGACCCAAACTGAATGCATCTCCACTGCTAAAAACATATCTGCTCTGGAAAGCAAGGTTCAGTTGAACAGTACGGAAACACAGACCATGCGTTCTGGCTTCGAAACCCTGGGGAGTTTGTTCTTCACCAGCAATGAAACTCAGACAGCAATGGACGACTTTCTTCTTGCCGATTTGGCCTGGAACACAATGGAATCTCAGTTCAGCTCTGTAGAAACCCAGACGTGTGCAGAACCACACACGGTCTCCAAATTCTAAAAGGAGTCACATGGTGTGGGACGGCATTTACAATTGCCTTCTAGATTTAGAAATGAAGAGTGAAAACAACAGTATTAACTCTGTTGAATGTAGTTAATATGCAGTTGCTTCAATTCTTTGAGGTTCTTTGCCTTTTGTACTTGTAAAACATGAAATTTGTGTATAAATGTGAGTGTATTATAAAGTGAAAATGTTGATCTAAAAAGTATTATATTGTGTTGCCTACATTTGCCCTTCCACAGCTAGTCTTCCCATCTTTTAAAAAAAAGGGGGGAAATCTCACACCTTTTAAACCCATCTATCCATTTAGCTGAAGCCAAGCTTACCAAGTACTAGGGTACAGACTTTTCAAATCTCCAAAATATTTTAGTCCAAGTGTGACTTACTTAAATTGCACCTAAAATATTTTTGACAGTTCTTGTTAGAAATTCCTGTTCCCTGATAGTAACACCTAAAGAAATTCAATGCTGCGCCATCAGATTAAAATGCCGGTGCTTAGATGGTTTGAGACTCCTGCTGCCTGCAGCTTCACCTGCTTTGACATCTTACTGTCTTCTGACTTGCAGACACAAGTGAAAACTACATCTGTCTTTAGCTTTCCAGACAGTTTTCATGTAGTCATTGCCATCTCTCCCTTTACGTGAAGTATTATTGATACCAATGTAAGTGTACAGTACTTTCCTTACAAGAAATGTGTTGTAAAATTACTGCTTAAAGTAGTAGTGGCAAGCAATTAGTGTAAATAGTGATCCTTCTAGTCTGAATAACTGTCATTCCAATGGGTTGTGGAATCATGCCTATTAGCTCATACCGAGTGTGCCCTATAAACACCCTCTCCTATTTTCTAGAGTAGGCCAGGGTGGTGCTCCAAGGCTGTTTGTCAAAGTACACAGGCTGGATCTGAGTTTTGTCACTAAATGTTTAAAAAACAAACATGGAAAGGGAAAGGGACATCCCCTCTTACATTTCAATGCATTGCATTAGCTTGAAAGAGAAGAGTGCAGTGAACAATTATTTTAAAGTGAATCTTTTCACCCACCTCTCATCTTTTCCTTGAATAAGGAAAGACATTAGTCTAACAAGGATATTATTTGTGCCTTGAGGATAGCAATTATAGAATAGGTCCAGCTTCTGCATTTTGTTGCTTAATTTTTTTAGAAAGGATAATACCAACCAGTCTTCTTCAAAGAAACAGGTGAAGACCAATTGCTTCAATAATCAAGGACATGTATGTTTTGAGGTGGGAGCATGGTCAAAGATGCTTGGGG